ATATATATCAATATAAATATAATAATATATAAATATAACTTCACTATAAATATCAATATAAAGAATTATAACAGATATATTGATATAAAAATAAATATAAAGTCATTAATGGAAACACATAATAAAAAAAATATAAGTAGTCCTTCATCCCTTGTTCAATTAATTAAAAAAATCAAATAAGATATATTTAGTCACTATCACTCTTGGTTAAGTAATTTGGAACTTCTTCTTCCGATGTTTCCGTTCCATCAAACTCTTCCTCTTCATCATCATCCTCACCCACACATTCTTCTTCTACCACATATGGCAATTGCATAACCTCACTAATTGCCACTTGTTCTCCCCCTTGAGATGCTAGTGAAACATGATCATTTAAAACAGTCGAGGGTTGCACCAATTGTGGCATAGGAGGATCATCGTCTTGATAATAAACATTTCCACAATCACTTAATGATGAAGTGTCAATTATTGCTCTTGCTCTAATCTTACATGCAGCAAATCACCCTTTTCTACAAGAATTTTGAGATGGCTAACGAGCATAAAACACTTGTTGAGCTTGACTGATCAATATGAATAGTTCATCTATTTGTAATTTAAATCGACAATTTATGTCAACTATACCAGATGTCAGATGGACCACAATGCTTTTGTTGATATCATACCACTCACAATTGAATAAAATCACTGATTGATGAACTTATGAGTCAAAATACTGAAGCTCAATTATTTCCTTCAAACTCCCATAATAATCTGACTCATCATTAAAAGTGGTTCCCTTCACACAAACACCGCTATTCATGGTCTTTTTATTTTATCCATATGCGATAATATGAAACCAGAATCCATTAACCTAATAATCATTGTATACCCTAACGTTATTGACTGGGCCAATTACTAAAGGCAAAAGGCGAGAATTAACCTCATATCTTCCACTACACACCTAGATTTATTATAAAAGTATTTAATATTTAATCCTAAAATATATAAAAATTGAGATCTTACTAATAAAAATCATTAAAATAAATTACTTACCGTTGTCTTAAACTAAGGAATAAATTCAAGTTGCCGTTTGATTTGAATTTGATCCTCTGATAGACCGGAACATATTTGATAATCAAAAAGCCTACATGAAGAATTTGGAGTAAACAATCTAAACATACTAGTAACTTAAACCAATGAAAGTTAGAACTAGAGAACATACGCAATCCATGGATTAACTTCTTCACAATTAAGCAAAACATAAAGTTCTGCTACCTTTAATTCTTTGGGTGATAGTGCACGCATACGCATTTCTCCACCTAGTGGTTGATCTCGATGTTTAAAGACAGACAAATAATTATCCATATCATCATTCACGTTGTCACGCCCCAAACCCCGGAGCGAGACAGACGCCGTGCACTCGTGAGGGAGGCCCACAAATGCACAAGGCTCGGAACTTACTGAAACCTTACTTAGCAATTTAGACAATTCATATCTAAACATTTTTATTTACTAAATATTCACTAGTCAAGATGTACAAATTTCACTTCATAAATACTATCAAAATTAAAACTAAGAAAGTTCTGTACAGAAAATTTTCTAAATCAAGCATGGTGACTAACGGCCTAGCTACAAAAACTAAGTCCAAAAGTGCCTAGCCGTCTAGCTCGTCACTCCCCCGGGCTTCCCGTGCGTCGGGTCTCACTACCTGAAATGGTGGACAAGGAAACCATGAGATAAAAATATCTCAGTAAGTAAACATGGGGGCCCGACATCAAAGTTTAAAGCATGCCAAATAATCGGTTGAAACATGAATAGAGCATTTCAAGAACAGAGCGTTTCAAGAACAGAGCGTTTCAGTAACAAATCATTAATGCAAAATAAAATCACGTAGTGGTCTCCTCTATTAGTCATGACCAGTTCCCACTGGTAGGCACATGAGTACTAGTGTATAATCCCCACTAGTAGGGCCACAAGTGAACCGGTTCTATCACGAACATGTCGACATGTGCTAGCGTTTGTAACCTCCCCCACTAGCGGGGTCACGATTACACGACCATATCGGAGACAAAACCAAGCAAGATTTACAGAAACCACGATTCACGATCGTTCTCACTTTCAAAAATAAACCGAGGAATCTCGTGTGGGCATGCTCAATTCGAGAAAAGAAGGAAAATAATAAAAGTTCAAATTCCCTTTTTTAATCATGCTCAAATGCAAATAAATCCATTTAAACCTCGCCACCATCTCAGAAAACAATTAAAATATGCTTCAAAAACTTACGGGTTTTACCATAATTTACTTACCTTAGTCACGCAGAACAGAAGGCCTAATCCAAGTGCTAAGACCACAGGGCAATCAAGGACCTATTCACAATATTCTCGAGTTAATATCTATAAAGAAATTTTATTCCTTTATTTATTTTCATCTCTCCTTTTCTATCCGGAAATTAAGCATTAACCGGGATTGGTTATTTATCTATGTATCTACCATTATATAATTACCCATATGCAAATTTTCCTCAATTTCATGGACAAGCAATGGGGGAACTGGCCTTGGCAAAAATGGTTAACTCATGGGATTCTCCCCTTTCCTCATGGACACACACACAACAGCCAAACCCCCTAATTTCCTACACAAATCATCAACCAAAACCCATTTTTTAATTCGCCAAAACTCATCCCCCACCTTCGGCATCTTGGTCCTTGACAACCCAAACACCCACACAACTAATTAAGCTCACAAGCAACAATTAATCCACCAATTTTCAAGGATTAGAGAAGCCAACTTACCAAAAATGCTCAACAAGCAAAGCTGGAGCTGGTGGGATGAGGAAGTGCTGGCGGGAAAATGGCAGGGGAGCTTCACGCAAACTTCTAGCAATTGAAAGAAAGGAGAATTAGAGTAACTCACACAAACTAAAGCTGAAAAGAGGAATTTATGGGCTGGTTTTACCAGGAAGAAAACCAGCAGCAGCCGGCGGTAGAGGGGGCAGAAGGACAGCAGATCCGGAGAAATTTCTACAAGGGAGAAGATTTCTAAGTCCTAAACTTGTTCTTGGGCAAGAGGAGAACAAAAATCATCAAGTTCTCTTACCAATTTTTGCAGATGGGGACGCTGGAAATGCTGGTGATGTTCGGCAGCAGCAGGGAGAAGAAAACAGAGCAAACGCGAAAAATGGCTGGAAGAAAGAAGGAAAGAAAAGAAAAAGGAAAAAGAGATGAGTCAGCCGGCCTTATCCAATAAGAGTTTAACCCCTTTGAAGTTTGAAAAATTGACAATTAGGTCCATTAATAATGTTTCTTCATCATTAAGTCCCTAACTCAACTTAATATGCTTGAAATTTTTGGGGTATTACACACGTTGACAATGTTTCTTGGTTGACGATTCAATCTTGTCTCTATGTCAGATCCAAAATAATGCGAGCAAAAGAAGGTAATTTATGAAAGAATATTAGATTCTCAAATTGAAGCTTCAACACGATTTTTTTTCAACATTGTTTTCTTTAGGTCATGCATTTTTCTGTTAAACAAATAAGAAAATTAATTAATAACATTAAATTATTAAATATACTCATGAATGTTATTGTGATGCAAAGATATATTAGAAGAAATATACCTTTCAAAATGATACATCCAACAAAATTGGACAGGTCCTCCAACTTTTACCTCATATGGTAGATGGATAGCCTAATGCTTCATCGAGTCAAAGAATGTTGGCGGGAATACTTTCTCTAGCTTGCAAATGGTCTCAATAATTTTTTCCTCCCATATCTCCATGTTACTGACTTGAATAATTGGAGCAGTTAAAGCTCTAAAAAAGTTACTAATCTCAATTAAGGGACCCCAAACTTCATCTATGAGGAAATCACGGAAAGCAATTGGCAAGAAACGCTGCATGAATACATGACAATCATGGCTTTTCATTCCAAACAATCGAAGTTCCTGCATGTTAACACATCGTGCTATGTTGGATGCATACCCATATGGGAATCTCAATTCCTTCAGCCACTGACAGATAAGAGCTCCTTGCTCTCGAGTAAGAACATATGTAACATTTGGTTTTATAGCTGTTCCATCATCTTGAGGTATCAATTCTAATTCAGATCTATTGTAATACAGTTGTAAATCCAATTTAGCATTGGTGTTATCCTTCGTACAACCCTTGTCATCCATGAAAATATTTTTAATGTTATCTAAAAAATTCTTCTCACAATGCATGACATCAAGGTTATGACGAATCAATAAATCCTTTCAGTATGGCAATTCCCAAGATATACTACGTTTCACCCAATTATGAAAAACACCAAATCCTACAATTGAATGTTTATCAAGTGGCTGGCCAAAGACTATGTCAGGGAGCTGATTAACCTTTTCTTCCATCAAAGTACCATCTAGTCTTGGGGGGGGCGGCTTTTTTCAACTTTATTGAGATAAAAAATTTTCTTATCTCTACGAAATGGATGTTTAGGAGGTAGAAATTGACGATGACAATCAAAAAATGATGTTTTCCTCCCATATTGAAGTTGAAAAGCCTTAGTGTTCTCCATGCAATAAGGGCATGACAACTTCCCATGTGTGCTCCATAGATAATATGCCATAACTTGGAAAATCACTTATAGTCCATAACAATACAGCTTTTATGATAAAATTATGTTATCTGAAGCTATCATAAGTTTCAACCCCATTTGTCCACAATTCCTTAAATTCATCAATTAATGGCCTAAGCATGACATCAATGTTTTTTCTTGGACTTTTAAGTCTAGAAATTATCATGGCAAGAAATATATGCTCTGACTTCATACACAATTCAGAAGGAAGGTTGTACACTATAAGAAAAACAGGCCAACAAGAGTAAGGTGTTGCAGAGCAACCAAATGGATTGAAACCATCTGTACAGAGGCCAAGTCTAACATTTCTAGGTTCATTAGAAAATGTTGGGTGGATTTCATCAAAGTGTTTCCATGCCTCACTACCTGTAGGATGAATAACTTCATCTGCATCCTCACAGCATTTCAAATGCCATGTCATGTGCTCAGCTATTTTCCTAGACATGTATAGTCGCTGCAATCTTGGGGTAATTGGAAGGTACCACAAAGATTTCCTTAAAACATCTTTCTGCCTTATAGCAAACATATTCCTCGGCTCATAATGGGATTCTTCACACACTGGACAAGCAGCTAAATTCTTACTTTGCTCATCATAGTACAAGAAGCAATCATTGACACAAATATCAATTTTCTTGTACCCAAGTCCAAGCACATTTATCATTTTTTTGGCACTATAGAAATCCTTTGGTACTTTTTCTTGGTCCTTTGAACTCAACAACTTTTGACTCAATGATAATGCCATATCCCAATTAGCAGCACTCATATTATAAAGAGTTTTTATGTTTAGCATTTCTGCCATCCATGAAAGTACTATAACATCCTGTCTCCCAGCACCTATATGAACTTTTGCAACATGCAAGAGATCATAAAATTCTCTTGCCTTACTATTTGGCTACTCAATCATTGGCCCCTCATTGTATTCAGACTGTGCACCCATTGCATCAACTACCATTTCATGGTATAATGCATCTACCTCATTCTAACAAACTCTATATTAGAAGATTCATCTTCAAAGTTTCTTACTGTATTGCTAGATGTCTCTCCATGAACATACCATGTATAATAGTTATTCATAAATTCATGCTTACACAAATGCACAGAGACAACCTCAGGATTTTCCCATTTTCTACATTTACATTTCGAATAAGGACACTTAATCTCTGATTTTGCTTTTGGTCTTGAAAATGCAAATCTCACAAAAAATTACACCCTTTCTTTAAATTCATCGGTAACAAAACCACTATCATCTACATGACGATCTATCCAACTACAGTCGTCCATCATTTAATTACCTAATTTGAATTTTAATTTGACAAAGTATATTAAAATATCAACTAATAATCATATATGTCAATAACCACACATGTTAAT